CTAAGCAAAATAAGATGTATAAAAAGATAAACATCATATGCAATCAAAATATGTGACATGATATGGCCATCATCATCTTGCGCCTTTGATCTCCATCTCCAAAGTATTGTCATGATCTCTATCGTCACCGGCATGACACCATGATCTTCATCATCTTGATCTATATCAATGTGTCGTCACGTGGACGTCTCGCCAACTATTGCTCTTGCAACTATTGCTATCGCATAGCGATAAAGTAAAGCAATTATTTGGCGCTTGCATCTTATGCAATAAAGAGACGACCATAAAGCTTTTGCCAGTTGCCGATAATTTCAACAAAACATGATCATATTATACAAAAACTTATAACTCATCACGTCTTGACCATATCACATCACAACATGTCCTGCAAAAACATGTTAGACGTCCTCTACTTTGTTGTTGCAAATTTTACGTGGCTGCTATGGGCTTAGCAAGAATCGTTCTTACCTACGCATAAAAACCACAACGATAGTTTGTCAAGTTGATGCTGTTTTAACCTTCGCAAGGACCGGGCGTAGCCACACTCGGTTCAACTAAAGTTGGAGAAACTGACACCCGCCAGCCACCTGTGTGCAAAACACGTCGGTAGAACCAGTCTCGCGTAAGCGTACGCGTAATGTCGGTCCGGGCCGCTTCATCCAACAATACTGCCGAACCAAAGTATGACATGCTGGTAAGCAGTATGACTTATATCGCCCACAACTCACTTGTGTTCTACTCGTGCATATAACATCAACACATAAAACCTAGGCTCGGATGCCACTCTTGGGGAACGTAGTAATTTCAAAAATTTCCTACGCACACGCAAGATCATGGTGATGCATAGCAACGAGAGGGGAGAGTGTTGTCTACGTACCCTCGTAGACCGTAAGCGGAAGCGTTAGCACAACGCGGTTGATGTAGTCGTACGTCTTCACGGCCCGACCGATCAAGCACCGAAACTACGACACCTCCGAGTTCTAGCACACGTTCAGCTCGATGACGATCCCCAGACTCCGATCCAGCAAAGTGTCGGGGAAGAGTTCCGTCAGCATGACGGCGTGGTGACGATCTTGATGTTCTACCGTCGCAGGGCTTCGCCTAAGCACCGCTACAATATTATCGAGGATTATGGTGGAAGGGGGCACCGCACACGGCTAAGAGATCAATGATCAATTGTTGTGTCTATGGGGTGCCCCCTGCCCCCGTATATAAAGGAGTGGAGTGGAGGAGGGGAGGGCCGGCCCTCTCTATGGCGCGCCCTAGGGGAGTCCTACTCCCACCGGGAGTAGGATCCCCTCTTTCCTAGTCCAACTAGGAGTCCTTCCAAGTAGTAGGAGTAGGAGACAAGGAAGGGGAAGAGGGAAGAGAAGGAAGGAGGGGGCGCAACCCCTCCCCCTAGTCGAATTCGGACTAGTCAATGGGGGGGGGAGCGCGGCCTGCCTCTTCCTCTCCCCTAAAGCCCAATAAGGCCCATATACTTCTTCCCCCGTATTCCCGTAACTCCCCGGTACTCCGAAAAATACCCGAACCATTTAGAACCTTTCCAATGTCCGAATATAGTCATCCAATATATCGATCTTTACGTCTCGACCATTTCGAGACTCCTCGTCATGTGCCTGATCTCATACGGGACTCCGAACTCCTTCGGTACATCAAAACTCATAAACTCATAATATAACTGTCGTCGAAACCTTAAGCGTGCGGACCCTACGGGTTCGAGAACAATGTAGACATGACCGAGACACGTCTCTGGTCAATAACCAATAGCGGAACCTGGATGCTCATATTGGCTCCTACATATTCTACGAAGATCTTTATCGGTCAGACCGCATAACAACATACGTTGTTCCCTTTGTCATTGGTATGTTACTTGCCCGAGATTCGATCGTCGGTATCTCAATACCTAGTTCAATCTCGTTACCGGCAAGTCTCTTTACTCGTTCCGTAATACATCATCTCGCAACTAACTCATTAGTTGCAATGCTTGCAAGGCTTATGTGATGTGCATTACCGAGAGGGCCCAGAGATACCTCTCCGACAATCGGAGTGACAAATCATAATATCAAAATACGCCAACCCAACATGTACCTTTGGAGACACCTGTAGAGCTCCTTTTACAATCACCCAGTTACGTTGTGACGTTTGGTAGCACACAAAGTGTTCATTCGGCAAACGGGAGTTGCATAATCTCATAGTCATAGGAACATGTATAAGTCATGAAGAAAGCAATAGCAACATACTAAACGATCGAGTGCTGAGCTAACGGAATAGGTCAAGTCAATCACATCATTCTCCTAATGATGTGATCCCGTTAATCAAATAACAACTCTTTGTCTATGGTTAGGAAACATAACCATCTTTGATTAACGAGCTAGTCAAGTAGAGGCATACTAGTGGCACTCTGTTTGTCTATGTATTCACACATGTATTATGTTTCCGGTTAATACAATTCTAGCATGAATAATAAACATTTATCATGAAATAAGGAAATAAATAATAACTTTATTATTGCCTCTAGGGCATATTTCCTTCATAATATTGTATAAGCATTACGTCCGTGATATGTAGACCATTATCCAACTGCATCTACAATTATACTCCAGCACAAGACCGCTATCCAGCATGCATCTCGAAGTATTAAGTTTGTAACAAACAAAGCATTGCAATAAGCATGATGACATAATGTAGACAATAAAATTATCATCTAAGTGTGATAAATAAATCATTGTTTTATACTTAGTGGCAACAATACAATACATGTTCAATCCATTATTGTCATTGGGATCAAACTTACTGCAAGATTGAACCCACTACTGTGCACCATGTCATCTGAAGAACTACCTATCAATCTTGGCCAGAGACAACAAATTGATCGGAAAGCATACATAGCTGTTTAATTATACAACAAAGAAACTTCAAGAGATTGAATATAATTCAATGAATACTTTGATCATAAAGTGACAATTCATCTCATCCCAACAAACTCAACCTTTGATTACATCATGTGGATCCCGATCATGTGAGGCAGCTCACATAAACTTTGTATTGAATCACATAGGAGAGACGATGCCATCTAACTACCGCTATGGACCCTAAGGTCCTAAGGAAACTACTCACACGTGTCCATGGTGGCAGGAATGTTGATGAAGATGGCTCCGATTTTGGATTCCCCCCTCGGCAGCCGAAACAGGGCTCCAGATTGGATCTCCTCGGAACATGAACTTGCGGAGGCGCAAAAAATCAAAGAAAATAGTACCGAGGGTTTCTCAATTTACGAGATTTATAGGCGAAAGAATGTGCATAAGGCTGTGACGAGAGGGGCCCACACAGGTGGGCCCCCGTTCGCGCCACTAGGCCTCGTGCCCCCTAGTAGGTCCTGGCACTTTCTAGAATCATGGTGTCTTAGAAAAAAACATATTAAATCCCCGGGTTTTTTTGACCTCCGTAGATATGGATTTTCTAAAAAGTAAAAAACATGCAGAAAATAACAACTGACATTGGACAATGAATTAATAAGGTAGTCCAGAAAAAATTGCTGTAAAAAGTATTCAAAAATTATATTATAATAATATGAAATAACCAAAAAGATAAAGATACGTTTGAGACGTATCACCCACTCACCTAGATCCCAGAGTGAAAAAAGTACGGCAAGACAAACCCTCAAGCTCTTTCAAGTGTGTGTCACTTTTTCTCGAGAATTTGCTTCCCAAGAGACAAAAAATATGGCCGGGGTTTCAAATCTTAAAGACATCACAATTGCATATTGGATTATTGTGTTTTTACAAAATTTGAGACTTATTCACATTTATTTGATTTTTTTAGTATTTTATGGTGATACACATTTGTTTGAGAATTGAATTATTGTGATCTTCCAACTTTGGAAGTGATTTTTCAGGTTTCTTTATCATCTTTCTCTTCTAGCTTGGAGTATTTACGCATTATTTTTTTTAAAACTTTATGAAATTGACTAGTATTTCCACTGGAAGGTTTTATTTTGGTAAGCATTTTTATCGCCAGACATTTTAATTTGCTAAGTGTGTCATTTCTTGGTATAGCATTTGTCTGTTTCTTTGCATAAATGATGTACATGTGGACACCGGGTCATTTTTGTCCTGGGCCTGCCCCCGCCCCTAGTCCGGACCGAACTATCTGGACGCATTTTTCATCCAACGCGGATGTGTATATGTACACGGACGTGTCTCCTTGTCTAAAATTCCGCAAACCAGAAGCAAACCTGCATGACGTTTGCAAGTGTTCGGACATCCGTTTGACCAATCAAAAGTCATGATTTTTCCTGCATGTTGTTTCATTTTTTTACAGGATTTGGCAGAAGGCTGTTGTTTCATGTTGCTTTGTTTGGCGAAGGTGATTTTGCAGGATTAAAAGACATGGCGGAAGGTTGTGCATGAGAATCCATGTGATTGTGCATGCGCATGCATGAGCATGAGCATGATCATGACGTAAGGTGCATGAGAAGTGGCGGAAGGCCTTGTGCATGAACAACTATTTGTCAGAAGGTTGTTGTGCATGATCAACTATTTGGCGGAAGGCTAGGCTAGGTTGTTTAGCGGAATTGTTAATGCTAACTTTTTATGTTAATAAAGACGGGCATCTGAGGTGTTGGGTTGGATGGTTGGCTCCTGTATCCTGTCCACAGACGCTTTCGGATGTGGTCCGTGGACGGGTAGTGTGTCCGTTTTAAGGGTCCATGTTGAAGATGCCTTTAGGGAAATGTTGTATACATTTTCATGGTTCAGTGATTTCTTTGTGAAGGGCCGGAACATGATTTGCTACCCCTTTTCAGGAGTAACATAAACTATGCCTAGATTTCATAGAAAGGGACTCCTTTTGTAAGATTTGTGATTTTATTGATAACAATTTTGAAGCAAAATACACATAAAAAGTCACAATAGACAAACCCACAAGAATCAAGTAACAATTGAGCATGTTGATCTAACAAAATCAAGAAGCAATTGTTTTGTTGCTAACCCATTAATCTACTTTGGAATTCCGGGGATTCGGTTGCAGCGCGGGCTCCTGGAGAAGTTGTTAACAGGAAACGATTTTGATATCACAGTTGCATTGAAGATGAGCTGGTCACCATGCCGTTCAACTGCATTGATGCTAACCCATTGGAATGCAACCTTGACGCTCACCCCTGTTAGCGCGTTAATCAACATGGACTGGATGTTGCCATGCACATTTCCTTCATACCGGAGAGTGAATCCCCCGATGTTGATCTCACAGCCGCCGGGGAGGGAGACCTCAAAGGATCCGTCTGGTTGTAGGGCATAGTCTTGAACACCCTCCGGGAGGATTCCCCGTGGGAAGCCGTACTTCTCCAGCAGCTCATATGCTGTTGAAGAGGGGGAGGTGCTCGAGGTGGCGGTGACTGAAGAGGCCACAACAGAGGCAGCCACAAGGAGGATGAGGAGGCTATGGTTCTTGGCCATGGTTGGTACTTATGATATGTTAATATCCTTTTCGAAGTATGTGGAAGATGATTGTGACTAAAGGCAGTCTATAGCCTCATATATAGGTCTACCTGTAGAGTACTGGACTACAATGTGGAGTGTAATGTTAATGCAATAAATATGGACCAGACATAGAGAGATATCCCATCATGCGTAGTGTTTATCTCGAATGTATAATTATAATCTAAAGTATATGTTTCTGTAATTGGAATCCAAAATAATGTTGAGTTATTATCCAAATCAAGTAGAAGAACAACAATTTGAAACCATTAAAAAGTATAAAAATTGCATAAAATTCATTTCCTGCCAATAAATTGGAAAGAAAATCAAGAAAACACAAATTCCGTAAAACTTAGAATAAGTTGGAACCATTAACTAGCATTAATTTATGCCTAAGTATATTGGAACTCCATATTTGAACAACATTGATATGCTAATTAATCATCCTTAATTATCTGCGTGTTTTAAGGGAAATAACATGTTTTGATGGCATTGTCATACCTACAAACACAAATAATTTACTTAGAAAAGCTAAAAACAAAAGGCTTAAAATATCTCAATGATTTTGTCCTTGCTAACCCTTGAAAGCTGATTCTAAAAAAAAACCTTGAAAGCTAAAACATAAAAAACTCCTAAAGTATGCATATCACCATTTTGTCACTACTACAAAATGCATGTCCAAACCAGGGTTGGAATAATTTTTCTTGTTTCATGCTATATTTATGTCATAATTGTATTTTTTGGCACCCATTTTATCAGTTTTCTAGACTAACCTGTTAACTCGGCGTCTAGAGTCAGTTGTTGTTTTATGTTATTTTGGACTTTTCAATAAAATCCAATTTTCTTGAATCCGTAACTTCCTTCAGCCAGTCAATCCCCACCAAGCATTCCAAGCCCAAGATGAGGTCATAGCACCCTAGTCACAGCACGCGTAAATCAGTAGTAAATGTGTGGCCCTGACAATACCACATCACAACTGGTACAAGTTTGGAGCTTCCATGTGTCCACCCATCATCAATTGCCACACTAGATGTGGCAACTTGAATGGTTGGAAACTGAACTCTAGAAACCATGTCTTCACTGATGAAATTGCTGGAGCTTCACGATCCACCAGGATGTGAACCCAATATCCATTGAGCATAGCATGCAACATGATGGTCATTGTGGTTGCTTAGCCATAACCACAAAGTTGTCTTTGGAGGGGCTGCCCTCCATACATATGTATATATAGGTGGAGGGGAGGAGGCTGACTTGGAGGAGGGGCTCCCTCCCTCATAGGGCCCGCTACATGCTACATCTTGAGCTTGCGTTGGTTTTTCCCTTGAGGAGGAAAGGGTGATGTAATAAAGTAGAGATAATTATTTCCCTCAGTTAGAGAACCATGGTATCAATCCAGTAGGAGGTACAAGCAAGTCTCCAATCTATGTACCTGCACAAACAATCAAACACTTGCACCCAACGCGATAAACGGGGTGTCAATCCCTTCACCGTCAATTGCAATGGTGAGATCTGATAGAGATAGATAAAAGATTAGTAAAACGTAAAACAAAATAAAAACAAATAAATTGCAGCAAGGTATTTTGGGTTTTTTGGTTTATAGATGTGAACATATATGACGGAAAATAGATTCGGGGGCCATAGGTTTCACTAGAGGCTTCTCTCTTGAAGGCAAGTAATATGGTGGGTGAACAAATTACTGTCGAGCAATTGATAGAAAAGCGCAAAGTTATGACAATATCCAAGGCAATGATTATGCATATAGGCATCACGTCCCTGTTAAGTAGACCGAAGCGATTCTGCATCTACTACTATTACTCCACACATCAACCACTATCCAACATGCATCTAGAGTATTAAGTTTATAAAGAACGGAGTAACGCCTTAAGTAAGATGACATGATGTAGAGGGATAAACTCAAGCAATATGATGAAAATCCCATCTTTTTATCCTTGATGGAAACAATACAATACGTGCCTCGCTACCCCTACTATGTCACTGGGTGAGGACACCGCAAGATTGAACCCAAAACTAAGCACCTCTCCCATTGCAAGAAATACCAATCTAGTTGGCCAAACCAAACCGATAATTCGAAGAGAAATACAAAGATATCAAATCATGCATATAAGAATTCAGAGAAAATTCAAATAATATTCATAGATAATCTGATCATAAATCCATAATTCATCGGATCTTGACAAACACACCACAAAAGAATATTACATCGGATAGAACTCCAAGAACATCGAGGAGAACATAGTATTGAAGATAATAGAGGGAGAAGAAGCCATCTAGCTACCGCTACTTCTTGAGCTTGCATTGGTTTTTTCCATTGAAGAGGAAATGGTGATGCAACACAGTAGAGATAAGTATTTCCCTTAGTTAAGAACCAAGGTATCAATCCAGTAGGAGAAACGCGCAAGTTCCCAATAGATGCATCTACACAAACAATCAAACACTTGCACCCAACATGATAAAGGGGTTATCAATCCCTTCACGATCACTTGCAAAGGTGAGATCTAATAGAGATAAATAAAACTAAACAAAAGATAAAATATTTTTGGATTTTTTGGTTTACATATCTGAAAATAAAAGACTGCAAAAATAGTAAATTGAAAACTAATATGATGGAAAATAGACCCGGGGGCCATAGGTTTCACTAGAGGCTTCTTTCTTGAAGGCAAATAATACGGTGGGTGAACAAATTACTATCGAGCAATTGATAGAAAAGTGCAAAGTTATGACGATATCCAAGGCAATGATTATGCAATATAGGCATCATGTCCGTGTCAAGTAGACCGACCCCTTCCTGCATCTACTACTATTACTACACACATCGACCGACTCCTGCCTGCATCTAGAGTATTAAGTTCATAAAGAACAGAGTAACACCTTAAGTAAGATGCCATGATGTAGAGGAATAAATTCAAGCAATATGATGAAAAACCCATCTTTTTATCCTCAATGGCAACAATTCAATACGCGTCTCGGTACCCCTACTTTGTCACTGGGTGAAATCACGCAAGATTGAACCCAAAGCTAAGCACCTCTCCCATTGCAAGAAAAACCAATCTAGTTGGCCAAACCAAACTGATAATTCGAAGAGAAATACAAATATATCAAATCATGCATATAAGAATTCAGAGAAGATTCAAATAATATTCATAGATAATCTGATCATAAATCCACAATTCATCGGATCTCGACAAACACACCACAAAAGAATATTACATCGGATAGAACTCCAAGAACATCGAGGAGAACATAGTATTGAGAATCAAAGAGAGAGAAGAAGCCATCTAGCTACTAGCTATGGACTCGCAGGTCTGTGGTAAACTACTCACACTTCATCGAAAGGGCAATAGAGTTGATGTAGATGCCCTCCGTGATCGAATCCCCCTCCGGCAGGATGCCAGAAAAGGCCCCAAGATGGGATCTCACGGGAATAGAAGGTTGTGGCGGTGGAAAAGTGTTTTCGTGGATGCTTCTGAGGGTTTTGGAATATATGTAAATATATAGGATGAAGATCTAGGTCATGGAGTCACTGAGGGGCCCACAAGGTAGCGGGTGCCCCCCTAGGACGCACCCTCCACCCTTGCCACTGCCTTGTGGATCTTCTGACTTGCACTCCAAGTCCCCTGGGTGTCTTCTGATCCAAGAAATTTTTGCGCAAAATTTTTATTCCATTTGGACTCTGTTTTATATCCCTTTTCTGCGAAGCTCAAAAACAAGGGAAAAATAGAAACTGGCACCGGGCTCTAGGTTAATAAGTTAGTCCCAAAAATAATATAAAATAACATATTAATGCATATAAAACATTCAAAACAGATAATATAATAGCATGGAACAATAAATAATTATAGATACGTTGGAGACATATCAGCTACTAGCTATGGACCTGTAGGTCTGAGGTAAACTAGTCATGCTTCACCGGAAGCGCAATAGGGTTGATGTAGATGCCCTCCGTGATCGAATCCCCCTCCGGCAGATCGCCGGAAAAGGCCCCAAGATGGGATCTCACGAGAACAGAAGGTTACGGTGGCGGAAAAGTATTTTCGTGGATGCCTCTGGTGGTTTGGGAATTTATAGGCCGAATATTAGGGTTAGGAGAGCTCTGAGGGACCCACAAGGCAAGGGGAGCCCCCTGGGGCGTGCCCTGCACCCTTGCCGTTGCCTCGGGACTCTTCTGCCATGGTCTCCAAGTCCTACGTGTGTCTTTTGGTCAAAGAAAAATCATGGTAAAGTTTTATTTCGTTTGGACTCCGTTTGATATTCCTTTTCTATAAAACTCAAAAACAAGGAAAAAACAGAAACTAGCACTAGGCTCTGGGTTAATAAGTTAATCCCAAAAATAATATAACATAGCATATTAATGCATATAAAATATCCAAAATATATAATATAATAGCATGTAACAATAAACAATTATAGATATGTTGGAGACGTATCAAGCATCCCCAAGCTTAATTCCTGCTCGTCCTCGGGTAGGTAAATGATAAAAACAATTTTTTTGATGTAGAATGCTACCTAACATATTTATCCATGTAATTTTCTTTATTTTGACATGAATATTTAGATCCACAAGATTCAAAACAAAAGTTTAATATTGACATAAAAACAATAATACTTCAAGCATACTAATAAAGCAATCATGTCTTCTCAAAATAACATGGCCAAAGAAAGTTATCCCTACAAAATCATATAGTCTGACTATATATGCTCCATCCTCATCACACAAAGTATTAAATCATGCACAACCCCGATGACAAGACAAGCAATTGTTTCATACTTTTGATGTTCTCAAAAAATTTCAACTTTCACGCAATACATGAGCGTGAGCCATGGATATAGCACTATAGGTGGAATAGAATATGGTGGTTGTGGAGAAGACAAAAAGAAGGAGATAGTCTCACATCAACTAGGCATATCAACTGGCTATGGAGATGCCCATCAATAGATATCAATGTGAGTGAGTAGGGATT